AAAATGAGGGCTGAAATTCTAGAATTTTAAGTCAGAGAATCAGAATTGTTCAGAATGATTTTAGAAGCTTATATTTGGCCTGGATTTTCTATGACATAAAAAACTAGGCCCTCTATGTCACTTTGAAACTGTGGAACCTTCTTGTTTCTTTGAATTTCAGTATTTCTATTTATAAAATAGGGCTATTCGTGCTTGTCACATAACAAGATGCATAAAGTCCTGAGAGATCACACCTTAGATATGGAAAATATCGTGAGGTACTGCTTTGTCTTCATCAGGTTTACATGTGAACTGTGTTTGACAAATGTGTGACTTCACTTCCATTAAAAAAAAAAAAATCTCTCCTAAAAGAGATTCCTCAGAATCTTTGTCTAGTTCTCCTAATATTAATCAGCTCCACACTTCAGAGGGAGTCTTCTTTTTGGCCAAGAACATTTTTTTCTGTGGCATTTTAAACTTGTTTTATAAAATGAAAATATCAGATAATTGGTACCCAGTGTATGCAACCTGTCGTATGCTTTTTTTTTTTTTTTTCTTTTTTTGGGTCATGCTGATCACTAAAGCTGTGAAGTATGTCTGTTCCTTTTCCAGCAAACACCTCAGATATTGGAAGAGCTAAGACAGGAGAAAAAAAACAAGATTTTCTCTTCTTGCACTCAGGATGGTACATTATCAACAAATTGGATGTGAAATGACGCATTAGTTTGAGCCACAGTGTTCTTAATTAGCTAAGATGTAAGGTTTACATTAGGGTTTTAAAGGACCTTTCCTTGAATTTATGGAAAATCCATTCAGAATCACTACAGGATGGCACCACACAGACCACTGTAACAAGTGTCTTAATTATTTTGCTGAGACCTAGTGGATCGCTCCATGATTAGTTCATCATATTACCCCGTGGGAGACAGAGTGTGAAATACAGTCTTCTGTTCACAAGCTCATAAAAAATGAGATAGATTTTTTTTTCTCTCCCTCCCTTCATTTCTGAGTTGGACAAATTGTGCTGAATCAACTAACCTTCTGTAAGTTTCTCCTATAAAAGAAACCAAATCAAGTTGGAATATATAGGGAAAGAGTAAGAAAGATTGAGTAATTTAAGTAGTATAGAGAAGAGGATCGAGTAATTGTTGTTTGGTTTTTTTATTAAATTTGTCAGGAGAAGCCATGTCTTCCTAAAGGAGACAACTTTTAGGAAGTTTGAAACCATGTCTCTCCCTGTAAAATTTTTATACAGATGAGTGGCAGCTAAGGGACGTCAAAAATAACCTTACTGGAGGGAATAAAAATTAAAATTAGGAAAAGACACTATGTGATTTAAGTGACATAAAGAATCAGATTTGGATATATTTTGTGCATGATACATTCCCATTTCTCCCTTGCTTGGCTTGCATATCCTTCAGATCCTTAAAACCGTCTGAGAAGAGTATATTCTTCCCTTTCGTATTTTTATTCTTTGCTAAACATGTTTGTGTAGTGTTTACAAAATTACTGTTGTGGAACCAAAGGTGCAAATGTGCAAAGAAT